CAAGAAACACACACAGCGAGGGATAACCAGCAAATCAGGAATAGCAGACCATGTTTGGACCCATCAACACAACATCGAGTGGTCCCAAGTTGAGATCTTGCACAGAGAGGAACATTGGTTTAGGAAAAAATGCAAGGAAGACGCATACATGTTGTCCAACAACGTATTCAGCCAGGCCAGCGTATAAATACGTAACATATGTAAACCCATCAAATGGCCAACTCCCGCCAAAGGGTCACCTCCCACGGAACCACTGAAGCGGAAAATGGAAAGCGGGGATAAGTGAAAGTACTCGAACGACCTATAAATAGACATCTTTCGGATGAATCAGTCCAGTCATCACCCGAAGACGATTGTAGATACTAACAATCGAAACGTCGTGAACTAATGTGACTCAACTTTTTATTCTTATTTTCTTTTTTCATTCCTTCATTTTTATTTATTTTTGTTGAATTGTTCTATTTTACTTGTATTTCATTTCACTATTATTTCATTTCAGGTTTATTTTGCCTTATACAATTGTTATATTCAGCTATTCATTTTTATTTCTTCTTTTTTAGTTGTTTCAGGGATTACAAATAATTTTACATAGTAGACAATGGAAGTCCGAGCTAGTGAAATGCATCATATTGAATATAGTTATCACTTGTTAAGATCGGTTCCGGTTTATTAGACCATTTTCAATTAACTAACACATCAAGCCAAGATAAATACCTGATCTTTTCAGTGTATATTCACTCGTCTTGAATCGTTGTTAGAATCGTCTATACGGATCAAGAAAAACCAGAAGCATTTGCTGACAATTCCGAAAGGCTCTGTAGAAAAAATGATGTCTCCTTCATGGACGAAGTAGAAGAAATCGAAAATAAAGTCGAACAGACGGTACGCAGGATAAGACGACAGCGAAGAGGCCACGCGCAACCCCTGGCACCAACATCTCCCGAGGGAGTGAATGTCATCGTAAGAGGCCTAGCCACTCGGAAAGCACCAGGCCCGGACCAAATCCCAAACCGAGCACTGAAGGTCCTATCAAAGAAGGGTATAGCGGCAATGACGAACATCATCAATGCAAAACTCCAACTACAACACTTCCCATATCCATTCAAGGAGGCAACGGTCATCCACATATCAAAGCCAAAGAAGAATCACTTATTCCCGGACAACCATTGGCCACTGAGCTTAACCCCTCCGTTGAGCAAAGTGGCAGGACGAGTTATACTGATAAGACTAGAGGATCAAACCAGGGAACTGGAAATCTTACCAGACGATAAGTTCAGTTTCATATCTGAACATTCAACAGAGCTACAAGTCCTGAGACTTCTCCAAGGCGTTCGATAGAGTTTGGCACTTCGAACTTCTAGCCAAAATGAGCAATTTTGGCTACTCTAAACAAATGGTGAGACTAATCGAATGTTCTAGCAGACCAACGATGCCGTTGCTGGGTAGGACACGAACTCTCTACCATGCGACTTCTGGAAGCAGAAGTCCCACAAGGTGCAGTTCTTTCTCCACACCTCTTCTCGGTATATACAGCAGACGTGCCCAGGCCAGAGAACGGCATTAATAAGCTGGCTCTATACGCGGACGACACAGCTCTACTGGCAAGATCCACCAGCCACGCGCAAATCACCAGATATTTGCAACAACAAGCGGACAGATTAGAGGAATAAGCCAACCTTTGGAAAGTCAGTATAAACCCTGACAAGAGTCAGGAGATACTGTTCACCCGGAGGTTGAAACAACTGGACAAGAGATTCCGTGGACCAATGAAGCAAGATACCGAGGAGTCATCCTCGACAGGAGACTGACGTTGAGGTCACACATACGGCACAGACTAGGACCGTCAAGAGCCAACAAAACCTATACCCAATCATAGGCCGCAAGAGTTACATGCGTCCCCATGTGAAACTGCATCTCAAGACCGTACTACTTCCCATCATGAACGCTTGTTCACGAGCTGCCGTAAACGCCCCTAGATGCATGCCTAACAGATACATCTACCAGGATCTCAACATCCACTACGTAGACGCTTACATAACAGAGAGTCGCTGTCCGACGGCTCCGGTGAGTATTAAAACTCATATACAGATTATTAACAAACATTTTCTCACAGATACTCAGACACAAACTTAGTTCGCGACTGAAAGACACTTGTCTCCGGTAAGGTCAAGGGGACATCCATGCATACATTACATTCAGTAAAATCACGAAAATGAATACATCATGAAAGAGAAAGCACCTAAGGCCTGACTTTCGACCGCAGGAGGTCAGATGTCAATCTTGCTGAAGTACCCATCGGCTGGTGGAGGTCCACTCAGAGATGAGTGGAGGTGAATGGACGGGATTCTAGCTTCTGTACACAGTAACCGTGTGGAGAAGATCCTATCTCAGGGTACTCAACGCCGGAGGCATAGGGGGGATATATCAGTTGCTTGAAAATGGTCTAGTGAACCGAAACCAGTCGTAACAAATAATAAACTTGGTAGGAACTAGGCAAAAGTTATTTTCTTTATTCTATTTTCGGTATCTCAGTTGGTAGTTTGTTCTATTGGATTTGAAACGCTGAATTATATTCAGCTATTCATCAATACGATCTCAGGAAGTTCATTTCACATAAACGCAAATCTCCAAATGAAAGAGTTTTCAAACAGTGAAGTTCGAGGTGTACTGAGTTGAACCTCGAAACGATGAGCAGCCACAGTCCTTCGGTTGTACGAAGGTCATCAAGGAATCAGAGTTTGAAGTCGTTTTGAAAATTGATTCGAAACCGATATCGATGGAACATCCTTCGAATGAGAACCAGTACAAGCTTTTTGGCGACGTGTACCAAAACAAAGAGGCTAATAAGGGACACTACGTGACCAAATCCTTCCTCGTCAGCTGCAGCTGCTGGCTGAGGCACAACGAATCCTCGATCAAGACCATGCAGGAAAAGCACGTGCTGTTGTTCCGGGAAACATCAGTTGCTCATTTGTTGTTCTACAGCAATCAGAACTTAGTTACGCTCTCCAGGAGATGAGGTTACTGCAGGTTGCTTGTTCATCTTCCACTGCCTGAACCACTGTGTCAGCTGTTTTTGGCGAGAATATTGGTTTGGATGTGGGGGTTGAACAAACCGGCCGTCGGATGCCTGCTTCCACGTAGCCCTGCTGGTTACGGGAATGACATAATCACCCGTGTGTTATTCCCTAACTGGATGACATCGCAACGATGGCTTGTTCCTGAGGTATGTGAATCCGTACCGAGAGGAGGAATGACACTGAGCCTATCAGCTGTCACTACGGAACCTTCGAGATTCTGGGTGCCTTCTTGTCGTAGCATCGCTTTGTCTCTAGCCACTCGTGGGACTTTTATAGACAGAGTGAACTAAACAATTTTGTGGATAGGTGTGGGCCACAATAAACCCTTGCGGGTTACGGTGGAAGGTCGAGTGGACCCACTCGCTTTTGACCTAACCTAACCTAATCTACATGAGGGCCAGCGGATGGGAGCGGCCAAGCCACTTCCAAAAAATTTCCATACGAATACGGGGCGGGGCGTCTATGAACGTAGAAAAATTTGTCGAGTTTTCACGAAACATGATTTTTTGTTGGTTCCAGTACTTTTTTATTTTAAACGTTTCAGTCGTGACATTTTCTATGTTCTTTTATATTCATTTTGGATATTGCGTGTTTGAAAATAAAAAATTGCAAGTTGTCGAGTTTTTCGTTGAACTAGAAGGTTTTATGGTCATTGATTTTTTATTCACTACCTTATATTGAAAATAAAGGTTTTGGTGTTTTACAGAAAAGTAAATAGCTGAAACCTTTCAATTCATCCGGTATATTCTTTCGAAATTTGAACGAAATGATTTGTGGACCTCGGAAATATTCAACTGTTCCAAGACTCTTGCGTATATATAGCAGAAAATAGTATGGACTTTTCTCAAGTTGAATTCTCTTACTTCATTTTAGTGACGTTCGATCTCGTCATTCCGTGAACATACAAGTTAGTGTACTTCTGTGAAACTGCTACTGCTTTGGTGGGAGCTTGACTGATTTCCATTTTTTTAATGAAAAACGGTTCCAAAACAGGCACACCCAGAGGTTTGTAACCTAAAAGTCACAAGAAGAATTCATCTCCCAGTCGTTATATTATACACCGACATACTCACCATTTTTGAATTTTTGTAAACCTGACATCAAATTCGCTCTGACGCACTCTGAGAAATTTAAATTTTCTACTAATATACCTATGAATATTATTTGAGTTTTTTCCCAACACCAAATCGTTATTTTTAACACCTCGACACGTGTTTCGATTACCAAGTGATCATCTTCAAAGAGGAAGATTAAAACTAGGAACAAGTGCGAGCTAATCCTGTTTATGCTATAAAAGTAACCCATACAGGTAAACCATCCAGGCATACCAACCATACAGGTATACCAACCTAAATTAATTTTACAATTTTGCCTTATCTATTATAGAAATAAACTACAAAAGATGCAGAATCGTACAATGCCAATAATCTCACAATGTTCGAGGATAACACCCATAGCAAATATGTTGCGAACTCTTCAACGGCTACCAGTGATGAAACTCTTCGAGTACCAAACACTAATTTTTATTTTTAAAATCAAAATTGGATATTCACCTGTATATCTACAGAATAAGTTAACTTATGTGGCTGAAATACATGGGCATAATACTAGAAACAGAAACAATATAAAAGTTGAAAAATTTAAAAAAATAGTACACATAATTCTTTATTTCATAAAGGAGTAGATTGTTTTAATGATCTCCCTCAAGAAATTGAAGATAGTGGTTCGATAAATATATTCAAAAGACGATTGAANTTGTATATATAGAGCTGTTTCAAAATTCGCCTGACTATACGCTATTAAAAAGTAATTGATCAAATCCCAGGCATATGCTGTTTGGATCGGTCTTTTCCATCACCGATGAGAGGTAATACCTCAAAACCGGTCTGTGTGTGATTGAATCGACTGATGCTGGATGAACGAGCAACATCGGCAATACTAACCTCTGTGCAATATCGACTCTGGTGAAATAAGGCAAATCACGATCAGAAAATCTAACGAATATCACACTCCACTGATTTCACTCATATTTGAATTTGTTTTTACGAGAATTTAAACAAATACTCACGCAACTTCACCCCTGAAGCTGAGCCCAAGACTGCCAACACAGTGAGAATTATCATCTCGCTTATTTTCTGAATGTTTTTCACAATGTTTGAAAGTAAACTAACTAAAATCCGAAGGAAAATTATATTTAATAACCTTCTCTGGTCTGCTCTTTGCCCGACGACAAGTTAATTAGTTTGAATAGCGAAATTCTATTTTCTGGAATCGATTCACTTGTTTATAGAAATTATAAATGAAGTTTCAAGATTTTTCTCGGTCACGATATTTATAGTGGTAATTTCCGATCAAGTAATGGTACTACTTTGAACTTTTCACTTCAATATTATCGAAATGGAACAATACCTTGTGAAATTGCTGAAGTCCACAAATACAGGGTAACATAGAAATTTCATTCACAGTCTGGTAGGAACCGGTAGGAAATGTATTCCATACATGAAAAGTCATACGTCTACTTTCCTAACTGAGTGACGGTAGTAGAGAATCTAAGGCATCGTCAGGTGTAGCTGACGTGTAAATACCCTCATTAGGAAAGGTTGTCGCGGGTATGAAGGTGGAAATCTTGCACCTTGACTATCCGACTACCTCATTAATGATGAAACAGCAGAGCATATACTTTGTGCCTGCCCCGCTGTGGACCGAATCATGTTTTTAGAGTTCGGCAGAGCCGTACTCTTACCATCTGACCTGAGCCACAATAAACCCTTGCGGGTTGCGGTGGAGGGTCGAATAGACCCACTCACTTTGGATCTAACCTAACCTAACCTATATCTATGTAATATGTAATACAGTTTTCAATAACTCACTGTGGAGACTGATAATAATATCGTCGTGTATGAAATATTAATACCTTACCACCAATAGAGAAAGTTTTAGAAATAGCAGTACATAATCAATTATTAGAGTTTATTGACAAACATCAAATCATGTTTAGCAATCAATCTGGTTTTCGAAAAAAACATTCTTGTGAAACAGCACTACAGTTATCATTAACTAAATTTACTAATGAAACAGATAAAGGTAAATATGTTGTAGCTGTCTTTTTAGATTCCAAAAGGGCCTTTAAAACGATTGATAGAAGTATTTTGCTTCAGAAGCTGAGCAGCTTGAGGGGATGATTTATGAATGGATAAGTAATTATTCATCAAATAGGAAACAGAGAGTACGTGTGAACAATTATTTCTCATCATATGTAACAAATCACACTGGAGTGCCACAAGGTAGTGTGCTTGGTCCCCTATTATTTCTATTATTTATTCTGTATCTGAATGATATTCAATTATTCACAGACTGTGAGTTCATAAACTTATTTGCAGTTGATACCTTATTGGCCTGTACTGGAGTTAATTCAAAAGAAATTGTTGGCAGAATTAATAAAGTTCTAGATAAAGTAGAAAAATGTCTGAAAACCAATGAAATGAAACTGAACGGTAAAAAAACAAAAGCAATGATAATTACTACTAAATTCAAATATAATTGTCCAATTCAATGATTTACCTGATTCAATTAAATCTACTCTATCCTTATAGATTTTCAAGAGCGAACTGTTAAAATATATTCACGATGGAAATTGAAAAATTCCTTTTTGTTCAGTTCAAATTATGTATGTATATAAAGTTGAATTATTTATATGAATTGTTGATTATATTATATTTTAGATTAGCTAAACTGCATATTAGGGAATCCTAATTCAATAAATAAATTCAATATAAAAAAAATAGTGAAATGGATATTCTATTCTGTTCTGTTATACCCTATGTTTTCAATAAAAGGAGGATGGAATGGTACATCATTCACGATATAGTTTGTCTCTCACTAACTTTTATGATTTTTTCTGAATTACTTTATTCGTCATTGAGAAATTCAATTCTACACGTTTTATTTCAGAAAAAAACTCAAACTTTTGCTTTCGTTTTTCTACTGTGACAAAGTGACAGCAAACGACAACAATAAAAACAAAATTATGAAGCGATAACGTCCACAATTGATTGTTTTACATTATTCAGCAGGTATTCTGAACTTTCCTCACAATAATAAAATTTTCACCATCCACGTGTATCCTTGACTGAATAGTTAACGTCACTCCAGCAATTATAGTCATGTTCAACATTCAGAATGAATATATGGAAAATAATGTATTTTAAAATTGGGAAATATGGAATGTTTTTGACGTGGCAAAATTGAGACAACAAAAAAACAGGCTTTAACGATAAGAGCTACGATTAGAGAGAACAAAATCCAGATTGGTAGGCGGTGTTCGAAAGGTAATTAAAGTAACGAACGTTTTGTCTACTACTGCAACAAACATATTCAGTGGTATTTGCCTTGACTAGAAGAAAAATGGTAGATTTTCAAAGTTTTAGCAATAACTGACTGAGGAACTCCATGTTTACTTGTATTTATACTTGTGTGTAGCAGTGCTGGTGGTTGTGGGACGTCCATGCAAATTCTCACACCTGATTGATCCACCCTTGTGTTAGATTGGTGTTGTTCTGTTTGGTCACGTTGTTAACGATAATGCTGATGGTAGAATGTCAATCGGAGTTGTATTCTAGTCCATTTCTGGTCTTTTCGAGTAATGTATATTACGTGATAGGTAGAATTATAATGCCTGGTGTATAATGAATACCACTTTCTGTTGACCCGTATACCTTTATATTTTCTGTTGAAACTCGTAATATGCTTATGGATCTCAATGGCCTCTTCATTATGAAGACATGCATGGAAATGCGTTGTATTAGACGGAACAGTAGTTTTTTTCGTATTTTACTTAGTGGTGGTCTGTTTCTGTAAGAAAATGTTCAGCAATTGCAGTTGCATGACACTCAGCTACACTTGTATTCTTGCAACCTGGTGTTATTGTTACTATTGGTAGTTCCAATATCAACTGAGCCAGAGAAGCAAGAAATCTTGAGGAAATCTGCGAATAATGAAGGCTCTTTTTCGTTTTTGGCCGATCTGATGATGTTGGGTGATTAATCAGCTGAATTGTGATTGGTCTTGATCTTATGACATTTCAAAAGTTTCTCATGGCGGTCCATAAATAACTATATGAAAGGCAAGTTGCCTGTAGAGCTTGATTCAGATGACGAAGTTTTTTGAGAACTTTTGGTTTACAAATCCTGGTGGCACGAATAACAATCATATCACTTTCACCCTAGACGGTGGTTTGAGCTATTAATATCGATCAGTATGACTACGTTTGCCATAAACGTTTATTTTGGTTTCCATGGATTATGTTATACGTTGTTATTGTTTCTCGAAAAAAAATAAAAGCGTCTTTTCATTTCCGTCTTGAATGAACTGTTCAACACCAGATATCTCGATAACAAATGAAGTGATAACGGACGAGAGAACAAATGAAACAGAATACAGCGATAATAGAGAAGAAGAGAAGTTTGGTTTACACTTTATAAAACCTCGACACATGTTTTACTATACAAAAGCGCCTTTAGGCGTGTTCAAGCACGAACTGATGATTTTAAGTCATTTTGATGAGTAAATCACATGCTTTTGTGGTTTCGCAAAAACCATGTTAGCTTAAATCAGCAGCATTCAATGTATGCTTCACAGATTATTCAATATTTCACTTTCAGAAAGCAAATTGCTGTAAACAACTGGCGGAATTCATAGACTCAGTTTTTTCTGAAAAAACTATTGGAACAAACTTCTAGCCAGGCCAATTTCAAAGAACGACAGTTGATATTATCAGTCAATAATCTACTTTGGGGAGTCAATTATTTATATCCCTCGTTTTTCAAAGAAAAATTGGACGTAGACTATGAATCGAATAATGAATTTAGGCGAATTCATTCAAACAATAAAAACAAAACTTTAGTGTTGTATAGATCGAGAATATCTAAGTTGACTTGTGATTATTGTCCCAAAGTTTACATTAGCACAGTCCCAAAAAACAAAAACACAGAGGTGATTTTCTGAATGGAAAGACCATTTCAAAATTTACACACTATCATTTGGCACAGGGCACAAGTTCAATCATGGGTACGACATACGAAAAAGAATTTGAAACTATTGCTCAGTGACCAAGTAGATTCGGATTGATATACCCTTTATTGAATTGTTTCCATGAAGTGGAAGTAGTTGGTTAGCACCGAACACACCAGAAGAAGCTCTGTTTCTCTGTATCTGTAGAGTAGGAGGGTGAGTGTAGACGCACAGCACTCAGGCCACATGCGACCCATTGTACATCCTACCGAGAAGTTTTCCTCCTAGGTCATCGTCCATCCTGTCCTTTCCAGGAAGGTGAACAGGTCACTAAGAGACATCTCCTTTATATTGGCAGGTGTAAGCCAAGACTGGCCGAACACACACTCTCTTTGGCAACCTTGAGGTGTCTCACGGTGGGCTCCGTGAAGATTCTGGAAGGTGCAGCGATATTACTGTCATTGCGCGGCTTCTTCAACCTCCCTCCGTGGAGGTGCACAAGTGAGGGAGCTTTCCTACAGGGGCAGCTGGTTCCTCGCCTTTATTCAAGGCGGATCTCTTCGTGTCCGCCGCAGGAAGTGCCCTTGCTGTTGGAAGTGATCTGGTATGTCCAGCCACTACCTTAGATTGAGGTGAGCATTTCTGTCCAGCCTCAGTATTGGTTTTTGTTTCTGTTGTTTCATTCATGTGTAGCAAGGGAAGAGTTGGTCACCTCTGGCAGAGACCCGCATTACCAGAGGTAGGCTGATTACAATGAGGTTTCGCCCAGTAACCCAAGGAGATGGTTCGTGACCACATATCCTGCGGCCATTCAGCTGTCGGCAGGATTCCTTACACCTTAGCTTGGGTAGGCTGGTCCACGGTGGCATGTTTTGCAAAGGCTTTTGGGGGATTTTAGTTCCCCCTACCTTACTTATTTTCATGATCAAAAATGCACATTTTTTGCAGTTATTTGAATCCGTTGAAAATAATCAATAAGACATTACATTTTGATAATATGATGCATACTATCATCATTTTGATGAAAATGTTTTCATACGTATGTTGCTAGTTCTGTATTCCCAACTATGATGTTCCTCTGGAAGTTTTTCATTGTCGAGATATTTCTCGTTTACCCTTACCAACAGAGGAGAACAAAAAATATTCCAAGAATTAAATATCAATAAAATGAATTTCAAATTCAGGCGTGATGGGAAATTGAAATACACGCCATCTTTCTTCCAGTAATGGAAGTATTTCAGGACCTCTATTTTAAACTCAAAAACACCCCAATTTAGAGAATTCTCACTTAAGTCAATGCCCTACAGACCTGTTAGTTCACTACTTCCCAGCAGATGTCAGTGTTTATTCAAATAGTAAAATCTTCCTTTCACAAAAAAAGATCTTGTGAATATTTCTGTGGAAAAAAAGAAGTTTTTCCGCTGTCGCTCCCCTACGAACAACAACTTTCAAATATGGAAACTTGTGTGAGCTGAGGACTAACGAGGTCATACCTTTTAACGTTTGATTCCTAAATTGAAAAAAGGGAAATAAGTACGTACCAAAAGTAAATTATAGGGTGATTCAATAAAAACGATAGAAAGGCCAAAGCGGGTAGCTTTGGCCAGTGGTTTTACAAAGTTCTACCCCATCGGGAGGATAATGCTGTGATTGTAATGGACAATGCACCTTATCATTCGCGACGGTTAGAGAAGATTCCGACAACGTCTTCAAAGAAGGTTGAAATCCAAAATTGGCTGCGATCAAAGAATATTAGCTTTGAAGTACAGCTACTAAAAATTGTCAAGGAGCGCAAGCTTGAATACCAAAAATATATAGTCGATGAGATGGCAGCAGGCCAAAACAAAATTGTCCTTCGCCTGCCTCCATACCACTGCGAGCTCAATCCCATCAAGTTAGTATGGGCGGATGTAAACAATTATGTAGCTCAGCATAACACCATGTTCAAATTTGCAGATCTCAGAGTACTTTTTGATGAGGCTTTGAAAAGAGTCACAGCGGAGAAATGGGAGAAGTGTGTTCGGCATGTGATGTCGGAAGTCGAGACAAAGATGTGGAAGCTTGATAACATAATAGAGGCACAAATCAAGCCACTGATAATTCAGATTGGTGAGGATGACACTACTGATGAAGGGACAAATTCATCCAGTTGAATAATTTTGAATAATATTCATTTTGATTTGACATGAAATAAAAATCATCAATAAAGAAATAATTACGTCTCTTTTCATATAATGCTTGAGTGCGCTGTGAAAAATCCAATGAAAATCTTTTTATATTACATATATCATCTGCATTTTTCCCGTTGAACTGCAAAACTTGTGTATTTCACTCGTTATTATAAAATAGTTTTCCTAAGTATGATATAGCATTTGCGATCAACAAGATGTTGGTTCTGAATACGACCCTGGCCAATTCTTGGGATTTTCAATATCACGTGCGTAGGGCATGTCAATGTTCACATCCACTCTATCTTGGATTTGAATTTGCTTTAGGTTTTCTGAAAACATTGAACTCAAATTTATTCTGATTGTGTGTAATGGCCAGGTCTAAGAAATGTATCTGTTTCTCCATCTGTTTCGAGTGTAAACTGAATGTTGCTATTGAGATTATTTATGAATGTCATAAATTGGTTCAGCTGTTGCCAGCTGGATTTATTTGGTCGAATTCAAACATGTTTTTGCCACGATTAAACTTAGGGTGTTGCAGTTGGGGATCGATTGGACCCATTTACTTCAGATCAACAATCAATCGTTCGAATGAAAAAAATTTGGTGAATTTCCTTCACTTGTTCCGGCAACAAAAAAAATATTCAAATTCTATCTTATTACTACAATCAATTACAATCAAAATTACTATATAAACTATTATTGTTAAGAAAACACGAACCGATCTGTTTTAATAATGGAGTTCCACTGAAAAAAACTGATTGGAAATAATTTTAGTTATAACTTTTTTCATGTAGGTAAATACTTTTATGAACTTTTCCGTATGTGAATGGAAATGAATTTTTTTTATTTTGCCCGTGTGGGTTCTTACAGCTAGAGCCAATAACATGGGTTTTTCATTCACAAATTCAACTTAATTTCCTATCGAGTTTGATCCATCACTCTCAAGAACTGATTCACAACGAATTTTCCAACATCAAGCTGGAAAGTTCACAAGCTAATATAGTACTATTTATCCTCAGCTTCGAAATAGGCCTCAGTTTCGATGATTACCTCTTCATCAGCGCAATTTTTCCAGCGATCACTCTCTTGAGGTCTGAGTACAGAAAAAAGTCGCTGAGGGATACATCTGGAGAATACGGTGGATATGGAAGCAATTTGAAGCCCAAGTCATGCAATTTTGCCATAGATTCCATTAATTTGTGACAAGGTGGTTTGTCAAGATGAAGTGCTAATTCCTTTTATGCTTCAATAACGCTGTATGATAGTCGCTGTTTATGGTTTGATCTTACCAGCCGAATGTTGATTTTGCAGGCTTTGGAATCGTTTTATCACGAGCAGTTCACTCAGATGACGATCGTTTTGATTCTAGTGTGAAATAGTGGAGCCATGTTTCATCCATTGTCACATATCGGTGCATGGATTTGGGTTTTTCAGGGTAGAACAGCTTGAAACACTGTTCAGAATCATTAATTCCTTGTTATTTTTGGCCGATTATGAGCTCGCGCGGCATCCACTTCAAACAAAGCTTTCGCATACCCAAATATTCATGCAGGATGTGACCAATAGGTTTTTTGATATCTTTAGAGCTTCAGCTATCTCGATCAACTTCACTTTGCGGTCATCCAAAATTAATTTGAGTAATGGCCTCTTTGGGGCTTCCACTGCGTTCATCCTTCTTGGTGCTTATTTCACCTTGTTGAAACTCAGCAAACCACTTTAGGACGGTTGATTTTCCTGGGTCAAAGTTCGAATAATTTTTATCACGCCAAGCGTTGGCTTCAGCAGTTTTTTTTCTGCCAAAAGCACGAAATTCCTTTCAATCCATTTTCTTCAAACTAACACTTGTTGTTTCATTTAAAATGTTCTATCCAACAAACTAATAGTCTGACAGCTGTGAAATTTGTACACTTTTCAGCTTTTTTCAATTACATTGGTACTCGTTTGGAAAACTATACTTTTTCTGAGCTTTTGACAAGATTCAGTCACCTACAATTTTTACGATCAATACTAGTTCATGACCAATATTGAATGTATACTATTTTTTGAAGAAATATGTTCTACATTTTGAACCAATATGGCTACATGAAAATCTAATTCTAATTCTACATTGAAAAATGTTCTACGTTTATAACCTACATGAAAATTTGTAAGTGTTATAAATCAATAAATTTCAATTTTTTGAACCAAGTTATTATATCTCGAAAAATAAAACAGCTCATTGTTGAATTTAATAAATTGAATTTATTACCAAAACACGGATTACAAAAATCAATCGAATATGTAATGCAAAAACTATTCAGCGGATAATCAGGCCAAAAATTCCAACATGAAAATAATGTGCTGTATATCACAATTATTCCTAAATCAAATATGTTTCAGATCAATTTGATTTGATAATATTTTTCAGAAGAGAAAAGAAAGGTACAAAAAAGAACAAGAGAGAATGAAAAAGAAGAGATTGAAGAAAACACTGTAAAAACGATAGAAATAATAAATATTTTTTTTATTTTTCTACTGTACTTTTTTTGTGAAATGAAACAAACAGAAATAGATTGGAGAAAAAGTTGAAAATGAAACTAAAGTTGAGAATTACTTCAGTGACTTCAGTTTTTAAGCCTTGGGGGTGCTAGGAGCATCTTCTGGTACTGGAGCTACTGTGGGAATTTCAGGATATTCCAATTTGGCTCCATCCTCACATTTGAAGATGGGGCAACAGCCTGGGAATGGTGCAGTTTTGTTGGTTTTTTCTGGAAAAATGGTTATAAATTAGAAAACGACACAAATATGTGGAATAACTGGTATGTATTTTAGAAATTGAATTTGGTTGGAATTGTAATGAGGCGTATTTACAAATCAGTATTCAATTAGACACTAGAGTCATGAGAAAAACAAAAGCATTTTCCAATCAGATTCGTACAATCAACTGTTCTGCGAGATGTATGCATCATAATATTCACACCCGTCATGAAAACAAAAATACATTCAATATTGGGTTTGAAAAGCAAGATATGTAACATTTGCCATCGACTTTTGGAGGATACAGATCTATACAATTTCCTACTGACAACTCATAAAAAACCATATTGAAAATATTTTTCCGAGTTGAATATCTTCAATAATGGGATTTGGAGTAACCTGTTTCTAATTAATGATGTAATTGACAGTTTATTCAAAGTAGTCGCTGGGAGACAAATCTGGCGAATATAGTGGCGAATATAGAATATAGCTGCAGGAGCAATTCGACACCCATTTCATACAATTTTGCCATATTTTTCATTGAGTTGTGGTACTGTTTATCGTTTTGACGAAGCAAACTAACGTTTAGTTGGTTTGCTGTCTGTGTTAGGCCTGAAAATTTTCAGCCCATGTTGTACTTTTGAAAAAATATAGAGCAATTTCGTATATGAAAGAATCAACAATTAAGTTGAAACAAGATCCAAATGTAGCAATTGCTCACAGAACTCAAAATCCAGTAATTACTATTTTTGTAAAATTGAAAAATAAAAGTTCTGACTTGAAAATAGCGGATATTCTGTTTGACATAACCTAATTGTTTAGAATAATGAAAGCTACAATTAACTACCATCAGAATTAGAAAGAATTTCATCACAATATTCTGCTGAAACTTGAAATAATTGAGTATTCCCTGTGAACCCACAATAACTTCATTTATTATTCTTGATATCACTGATGGTGAAGCAACAAGTTTATAGTTAATATTGACAAAAATAATATGGACTCCATTTCGAAGCACAATATTACATTTCACTCAATATTCAGCTAAAGCTACTCACACACTCAACCAAATGAATACCAAAAATAGTACTGAGGAAAGTACTTATAGAAACAATGTAGTACGAAAAAAGAAAAACACTGGAAACACTGGATCACGAATTTATCGAGCTACCATATTCTTCGTTTTTCTGAAAGTGGGTTTTGAATAATGTAGCAAAATTTTGTTATAGTATTATGATAATGAGTAGCTTGATATGAAAAGGGCTGTTCAAAAAAAGCTGAAGAATGACTGAAGATGAATAGATTATCAGTGGATCAGTTAAACGTTGGAGGAGTTTTTGAGTTCAGTATTATGAAAATGATATTGCAAGAGTTNACACGCAGGTGGAGCGACCACAGAATGGTTGGAGTTCCCAAGTTTTACCAGGTTCTACAGTTGCGCATCTTGTTGAGGCAAAGCATGCTCCAGGGAAATCTGAAATGAAAGTTTCATGTTTCAATTGCTCTGATTCAGAATATTTCACGATACGAAACAAAAAACAACCATGATGACCATGATAACCAAAAAACTTCAACTAGAGTTTCCTAATTTGGCTGATAACAAGTCCGTGCAAAGCTTATTGGTGAATCATCTGAAAATGGAACTTTTAACAGGTGATGATCAACTGTATTGCCAAATATGCGCCAAACTGACTGACTATTATGATGCAACAAGTGTAGCTGAGGCACCAGTCGATCTAATAATTACACTGATGATCTTCAAACATGGCTCAACCTCTAACGGAAGCACCAAATTCTTACGAAGGTTCGAAATAGATGAACACTTCAGTCTAGCAGACCACTATTAAAATCTTCATGCAGTCATTGTTCACTTTGGTTCTGGCATTGAATCTGGTTATTATTACGCATTGGTCAAAGATGAAACGGATTGGTTTAAGTTTGATGATAGTTGTTTCACTGAGTGTTCTGGCGATGTCTTGAATTTATTGGAGCCTATGGAGACACCCTACACTTTGTTTTATGAGAGAGAGGACATTGGCAGATCAAGATCTTCAGATGATGTGATGCTGCAGGTTTTTCCGGGTTTTCCTGCAGCTGAAAAAGCAAATGCGCCACTGGAATAAATGAAGTCGCCCCGGAGTGCCAAATTTGTTGTTGTTGTTTCATAATTTCATGATTTGTATTACTTTCTTCTTCAACTAGTTACCGATTCCTACACTTTTTAGGTAATCTAGAAATGAACTAATTTTGTCAATCATGAACGAGTTAGTTAGCTTACAGTTCAAAACAGAAAACCTTCTGGTATGGATTGTCCCAAAAACTAGAAGAGAGACAAATTTCCAACCTTTCTTCGATGTTCCAGATTATCAAGGTCTCCAATCAGGCGGATGGCTTTCTGGATGAAATCCAGCAACTTCAGGGTATGTTTAGGGGCGGAGCTCCATACATGAGAACAATACTTCAAAGGAAGTCTGATCTGAGCTTTATAAAGCATCAACATTTGCTGAAGTGTATACAGTTTTCTGGTTCGGAACAATGTTCCAAGCTTTTTAAAAGTAGCCTTTGCAACTTCAGCGACATAATTGGGCCGAGACATATTGTTGTCCATTTTAACCCCCAACAAACTTATTGAAGCAGAAAGCGGAATTGTCTGACCTGACATTATTATTGTATCAGGTTCATAGACATTCATCTTTCTGGAGGTAGTCTCAATTTGATCGAATATTACACTTTCTGAGATGTTATCAATAGTCACGGTTCTGTTAGTAGATTCATCTTACATTGAAAAATCATTAAACTGTGTAGGTGCTACTAAGAAGTTGTTAGTTTTGAGAAAAATCTTGTTCAATTTCAACATTGACCCAATAAATATTCAGTCGGTGAAATATCAAGGTACGTGTTGAAGTTTAGAAGTGA